AGGAGGTGCCCCTGGCCTGCAATCTCTCTTAATCCTTTCTACCAAAGCTGAATTCCTGGAGCTCTTTCTTGCCTCTATCCCTCCCATTAGAGCAACCTGAACCTCAATTTGCTCAGCTCTGAAATGGGTGGCATTACAACAGCGGGCTGTGAACGCTTCAGATTTTGAGTATATATTTTTGGGACATGTTTTCTAAGAATTTTAAATCAAAAATGAAAATCAACAACCACTTTCAAAATAATTTAAAAATTCCAGGCTTCCCTGGTGGCACAGAGGTTAAAGTCTCAGCGCTATCAAGCTATCCCAGGCCACTGTGGCTTGAGTTCTAGCCCCGGCCAGGGAGCTAACCCACATGGTACAGCAGACCTCTCCTATCTCCCCTGCTGCTCCCCTCAGCAGTGTAATTTCAGCAGCTCTGCCTGCCCTGCTCCCCACTCGGTCTCTAATGAATCCTCTCACCCCCCCCCACCCCACTGCACCTCTGGCCTACACCCCAGTTCTTGTGTGCATAAATAAAATAAAAATCTTAAAATCATTTAACAATTACTAGGTGGATAATTTTGAGGAGGGGGAGTGTCCGAAAACTATATAATCATCTAGTTCCATTTTAACTTAAAAATACATGGTGCGGGCCTCCCTAGTGACGCAAGGGTTTTTTTGTTTGTTTGTTTGTTTGTTTTTGTTTTAAAACCATTTACTTACAAACTTTAATTCAGCAAAGGTCTGTGTGAGAGGATTGGGGAGTGGACACCCTCCCACCTCCTGGAGTGGACAAGGACCCCCATTGTCAGGGGAGGGAAGCTGGTGACCCAGCTGGCTTGGCACAGGAGCCAGGGTCACCACAGGTGTATAGGTCCTGCTGGTGGGCAGGGACAGAGCTGATCTGCCTGGAGTTGTTGGTTGCCAGCAATGGACAAAGGGAGGCCAGTTCCAAATGATATGGCCTAGGAATGATGAGGTGGAGATAATCTTCAACATGGGGGAGAGAGCAGAGGCTCAGTGAGATGCATGACTACCAGACAGACAGCAGAGGACTAGTTTAAGCTGGTAGAGAAAAGCACCCAAACCTGGGGGGGGCGGCAGTGTGAGGAAGGGAGGAGGAGGGTAAGGAATGGTAGGGTTGCTGGGCCAAGACCAAGGCTTTGGCCTTCTGTCCCTCGGGTGGGGACCCTGGGTAGAAAGGTCCTAGGCCAGAGCTATTTGGTCCTGAGTCAAGATTCCGGAGCTTGGCATCTGAGAGGCTCTGGCCAGCAGGACCTGGGGCCCAGCTTTAAGGCATCAGAAGGCCAGGGGACTGGTTCAACCTATGAACCTATTGGCAGCCACTGCAGCACGAGTTCGATCCCCGGCTGGCCAGGGAGCTACCCACATGGCGCAGCAGATCTCTCCTGACTTGCCCGCTGCTCCCCTCAGCAGTGTATTTTGTCAGTCTGCCTGTTCTGTTCCCCACTCTGTCTCTGGTGAATCCTCTCACCTCCCGTACCTCTGGCCAGTACCCCAGTTCTTGTATGCATAAATAAATAAATCTTTAAAAAAAATAAAAATACATGGTGCTTCTGATGGTTTTAATGTGGTGATGAGGAGGAGGAGGAAGATGAGGATGATGATGATGATAAAAACCCAAGTCCAAAGTTCCTTATGCCCTACCCAGTCATTCTCTTGCAAGACAACTAATCTGATTTCCTTCACTATGCATTAGTTTTGCCAGATTGACAATTTCACACAAATGGAATAATACAGTATTTCTCTTTTGTACCTGGCTCCTTTCACTCAGTCATATGTCTATGACTCATAGACATAGTTTGCTCCTTTTCCTTGCTCAGTAGTATTCCTTTACCCACTTGTGTGTTTCTTGGTCAATTCTTTTGTGGTTGGGCACCTGTTTCCAGCATTTTGTTATCGTGAAATAAAACTAATATGAACATTTCATACAAGTTTTTGTGTAGCATGTGGTAGCATGTGGTACATATTTCACCCAAACTGATTTCGCAAATCCTTTTCAACTCTTCATTGATGTCATATTAGCACCTTGAAATAAACCATGGTGGAAGAATTTACACCACAGTTGGTGAATGCTATGAATTAGACCTTTTTTCCCCTTGAGAGCTGGTTGTTAAAGAATTACCAGTATACCATTTTAATTTCTTTGTTTTTTTTTAAGATTTATTTATTTATGTATACAAGAGCTGGGGTATAGGCCAGAGATGCGGGGGGTGAGAGGATCCACAAGAGACAGAGTGGGGAACAGAACAGGCAGACTGACTGAAATACACTGATGAGGGGAGCAGCAGACGAGTCAGGAGAGGTCTGCTGTGCCATGTAGGTTTGGATCTAACTAGTGCTGCAGAGGCTGTGGATTGCTTCATAGTGCAGTGCTTAACCCCTTGTGCCACCAGGGAGGCCCACCATTTTGATTTCTTTGGAGTAAATACCAGCAGTGAGATCACTGGATTGCATGGTATGTCTATGTTTAACTTTATGAGAAGCTGTCAAACTGTTTCCAAAGTGGTTGGACCATTTTACAGTCCCAATAGCAATGTAAGAAAGTTCCAGTTGTTCCATATTCTCATCAATAGGTGGTATTTCCATCTTTTTCGGTGTAAGCCATTGAACGGTAAAGATACAAACAGGAAAGAGCAATGGGATATGGAGTTTATATGACAGCCCAGTGAGCATAAGTTTGGACTTTGTACTGCCAGGATGGGCCACAGAGCAGGTTATCTATTATCCATCAGATGGGTAAAGGAGAGTCTTGGAGCCCTCAGTGGTTTTCTCAGGCTATTATTGAGCTTTAAATGTGGTGTGGCAAATAGGTACACAGCAGGCAGGGATTCTGGGGGGCCAGGTGGCGTCCTGGCCCCCCAGCAAGTCTTTACTCTGGGCTTCTCTGGCTTTCTTTCTCCCCTTCTCTCTCCTGCCTCTTCTGCTTCTCTTGGTGACTATCTCTATACTCCTCCCATGACCCACAAAAGTAAACTAGACAGTTTACAACAATGTAACAACTGCAGGTGCCCCATTAGGCAGGGCAATCCTAATGGTGGGAGGGCAGAAAAGCCTGAAAAACCATTTACACTACAGTCTTTCTCCTTAGAAGCAGAGAAAGCACTCAATAATACTAGTTGAATTATGTTGCAGCCCCCTCACCTAGGGACCTTCCTCACATCTTTCCTATTTCATCACAGAGGGATGCTGAGCTCCAAATATTAGAATGCAGTCACTTCAAACACAGCAGGACGGTCATACTGTTGGGGAAATAATTGAAAATAAAATCTCATGTCAACCCAGTGAATCCTCTCCAAAAGAGTAGAAAATAATGAAACAGATTTATTATCAAATAAGCAATAAGCCAGGTTTCAATGCAAATCAGAAGCAATCCACAGGAGATTGCGGGGACAAAGGACTTTCATCCTTTTATATAGCCAGACAGAGACAAATCCTTCCTAACATGTTCCCAAGAAAGGTAACTTGTCCTTAAGTTAAGAAAAATTGATAGCACCGTTTGCTACACAGATGCATCTTACATGCAGCTAGTAATTGGGGTAGCCATCTGCCCTTATCCAAAAGAAAAATAAAGCTCATATCTTTGACAAACTGATAACAACTTGGAGCCAGTTGCCTAGGTCAAATTCCTAGAGACGCAGAGCCAGGGCACTATCTGTATTGCTATTTACAGCTCGGAGATGGTTCCAAGGCCTTTAGAACAGCATGCCCGGGTTGTAAAACTGGCAGGAAGGTTATTTAGCTTTTTTTAAGCCTCATAGATTTTTTTTTAATGAGGCAACGTTGGTTGGTTTAGAAAACTATGTAAGTTTCAGGTATACAGCATTATTATAATTTGGCATCCATATAAAGACATGGAGTATATATACAGCCAAACAGTGCTTGATGACAAAGATATGTTCTGAGAAATGCATTTTAGGTGACTTTATAGTTACAAGAATATTATAGCGTGACTACACAAACCTAGCTGGTATAGCCAATGACACACCTAGGCTACAGTGTATAGCCCATCTGGACCACTACTGCATATGTGTTTCAGGTCATTAAGTGATAACACGGAATACTACTGGGCTAAAAGGAAAGATGAAACCTTGTCACTTGGGAAAACATGGCTGGGCCTTAAGGGTATTGAGTTAAGTGAATTAAATCACATTGTGAAATACAAGTATCACTTGATTTCATTAATATGTGGAATATTAAGAGACCACTTAACTTTAAGAGATTTTCATACATCATACAAAGAGACAGAGGAAAAATCAACAATTACAAGTGTCTACTCCATGACATCAGAGAAAAGTCAACTTCTAAAAACTTTGTTTTGACCCTACAATACTTCTATACGTTTCCATATGCTTTGCCCCCCTGCAGGTCCATACTTTCCTCCCATCTTCACCTGACCATCTTTGGCTAATCTTTCAAAAACCCTTATCAACACTATTCCTAAAGGAAACCTAGCAAAACAGCAGGCCACTCCTTCTAGGACTGGATCCCAGTCCCAGTCACATCAGAGACCCGCTGTTATTAAAGGCTGTGACTACAGCCTTTTGGAATTGGAAGACGTTACAGCTAATTTAGTTTGATTTCAACCCATTTCAAAGATGGTTAAGACTTATTAAACACAGAAAAATCCTAAATGGGTATTTAAGGGTCTGGAGCACCCACCCCAAAAGGGACGCTTAAGGAGTTTTCGCCTAGATTCTTTAACCCCTAAAGTCAGCGTCAAGAAACCAAAACAAAAGTCTGCTTCATTCCGCCTTGGTAAGACCGAGGTTAAAGCCCCCGGTACGGAGGTTTCCTCCCGACAGCGCCTGCGCAAGTCAGGACAGGCGAACTTGCCCCGACCCTGACGTTTCAGGTAGCCCCTCCCAATCCGGAACACAACGTGCAGTCAGCCAGTCCTGCCTTGACAGGCGTGACTCTGATCCAATAAGAATGGAGGGTTGAGTCCTGCGGAGCCAATGGTGTAGACGTGCCCATGGGACAGTGGAGGCGGACTCTGCCAGGAAACAAGAAGACAGGCCCAAGATGGAGGCAGCGGCAGCCGTAGCGGCGTGACAGGTGAGGGCGGGCCCGACAATGTTAGGATTTTGGGGCGATCGCCGGACACCTGCAGGGGGCCGGGGCCGAAAGCTCAGCTCCAGGGTGGCTGCGCTTCGGCCCCGGTGTCCCCGTCCGGAACCGGAGGAGTGGTTTGACCCGGGGCGAGACCATCGTCGACAGCGGAGGGGGGGGCGGTGGTGGGGAGACAGGGATAGAGGTGTAAGGTCGCGGGGGATGGTTTCGCCCGTCGCGTGTGGCAGCGCGCCTGCGCAGAGCCGGGAGGCCTTCGGTGGGCGGGGCCCAGCCGAATGGGCCCTGAGTTGCGGTGTGTTTTCCCAATGTTTCCTTTTAACCTTCTTAGGTATTTCGTGACCCTGCCTTACTCACTCACTCCGGGGAGTGCGTGAAAACGCGGCTCACCCCGCGCTCCCCTTATTCTGGATCAATGTCCAATCCACTAGGAGAATGTTTGAGGCTTCTCCCATTACCCCTCAATGATTAATATGTCTGTGGACTACCCACCCCCCCCCAATTGGTTGTCAGGGGGAGTTTTGGAGCCCTGCTACTTTACCCTCATTTATTTCACTTCTTCCATTAACCCTCACTGATTATTATGTCTGAAGCAGCCCCCCCACCATTGGTTGTCAGGGAGAGTTTTGGAGCCCCACCACTTTACCCCCATTTATTTCACTTCAACAATGTTTGGTGATGCACCATTATCTCGCTTTTCCCCATGACACTATCTGGTGCACCCGGTAATCCACTCTTCTCCCCACTATAGACCATACTGACTTCTTTTACATCTTCCTTGAGCATAGTGTCTGCTGAGCCCCTAGAAACTCCCATCACAGTCTGGTGACTCCCATTAGGCACCTAATACTTTGTGGGTCCACCATCATTACAGACAGGACTTTGGGATGCAGTATATGGTGCAGTCCTCATTTTCTCCAAATTAAGGGAAATAGCTCATCACCCTGCCTGTGACTCCTCCCTCACCACAGTCTTTGGTAAACCCCTTTGCCATTAAAAAGCCAGGATAGCCTGTTTGTGTCCATTATATGCCTGACAGCCCCTGAGCAGTGTGCTCACCGAGTCTCTTATACTCCTGTGTCCTCCAGGTCAGCACATGCTGCCTCCCCTTGTGTGTGTGAATTGTCTCCCTATCCCACCCCTCCTGCGGAGAATGTGAAACCTTGACACTTGGAAATTAGGCTACAGTGGGTTTCATGAAGCCTGAAGATTGACTTTTTTTCTGTCCCCTGCCATTTAGCTTTCAAACTATTGGTTTTGGTCCTTTGGATTCCTTCCCTTTCTTCTAGGAGCCCCATGGCACCTGCCCAGCCCCGCCTCAGCCCATCTTGACAAAGTCCTAGGCTCCATGGAGCCACCACGGGGACCCCCTTCCAACGGGGCGGAGCCATCCCGGGCAGTGGGCACTGTCAAAGTGTACCTGCCCAATAAGCAGCGAACAGTGGTAAGTCTGATGGGGGCAAAACTGGCGGGAGTGAGGATGGACCCAGTTGTTAAGTCCTGAATCTGAAGGGTGACTAGGGCTGGGAGAAGGCCTTCACAGAGGGATGGGAAAGTTGTCTGGGGTTTCTGTTGGGCACTGAGAATCCCCACATGTGCATACCCACACATACAGGTGACTGTCCGGGATGGCATGAGTGTCTATGACTCGCTAGATAAGGCCCTCAAAGTGCGGGGTCTCAACCAGGATTGCTGCGTGGTCTACCGGCTCATCAAGGGGTAAGTGTGGCATCCCTACCCCTGTGGGTGCCCAGCCTTCCATCCCCTCCTCAGAGCCCTTTGACTCCTTCTCCACTGCCCTGGAGTCTCCAGTGGTCTTACTTTAGTTCAGAGAATCAGTGAGTCTCTCCAGCCTTTGTTTCATTGCTTCCTTAGTTCATTAACCTGTAAGGTCAGCAACTCATTCTCTCCTTGCCCCCACTAAGGCCTCACCCTGCTGCAACACTTTCTCCAGGAGTTCACCTAGTTTGTTCCTTCACTACTCATCAGTTTGTCAGCCCTCTCCTTTCTGTTTCCCCATTCTCTGCTGAGTTGGACCTCCTGACCTTCCATATAGTCCTCTGTTCTGGGCTTCCTTATTATTTTTATCAATTCACACATTGCTTTCTGTTTGTTGTTTCAATGCCTGTTTCATCAGCCATCTTTTCAAGGACTTGCTTAGCACATCTGAGATTTAGTTATTTACTGCCTCATTTGCTCCTCACCTTGTGGTTAGGAATGTGGACTCTTCACAGCGTTCTGCCATTTATGATCCCCTGTGGCCTTGGTAAAGTCACTAGCCCTCTGAGCCTCGGTTTCCCCATCTGTAAAGTGGGGGCAAGGACAGTAACTAGTTCCTAGAGTTGCTGTGAGGAGAATGAAGCATGCCAGAGATTACTGCATGGATGGCACGCTGAGAGGGAGTTTGGGGGCTTCCCTCCTTCTTCATGGCCCCTGTCCACACTCCCACTCACTCCCTTCCATGCCTCCTATAGGCGAAAGACTGTCACAGCCTGGGACACGGCCATTGCCCCCTTGGATGGTGAGGAGCTCATTGTGGAGGTCCTCGAAGATGTCCCACTGACTATGCACAATTTTGTGAGTACAGGATGGATGGGGGGGCAGGTGGTAGGAGCAGGAGGGTCCTTAGCCAGGCCTCATCCTTTCCTCTTCTGTGGCAGCAGGTACGGAAGACATTCTTCAGCCTGGCCTTCTGTGACTTCTGCCTTAAGTTTCTCTTCCATGGTTTCCGCTGCCAAACCTGTGGCTACAAGTTCCACCAGCATTGTTCCTCCAAAGTGCCTACAGTCTGTGTCGACATGAGTACCAACCGCCGACAGTGAGCCTGGCCTGGGGTGGGTGGGGGGTGGGTGGCTGGGGGGGGGTGGGGCGGCTGAGGCCCAGTCATAATGTTCTTACAGACAGCTGACCCATTCTCCTTGTTCTACACCCTCAACACGCTCAAGGTTCTACCACAGTATCCAGGATTTGTCCGGAGGCTCCAGACAGCAAGAGACTCCCTCCAGCCAACCCCTGAATGAGCCACTAACCCCTCAGGGACCCAGGTAGGGATGTCTTAGCCAAAGGGCTGCTGTTGGGAGAAAAAGATCTGAAGGCTCCTATAGGCCCACAAGCTATACATTATTCATTAGTTTACTCAACAGTTATTTATTGAGAACCTGCAAGTGTGAGTAAGGGGATGGAGCTGTGGAATCTTGGGCAAGTCACCTAATCTCTCTGGGCATAGGTTTTCTCATCTGTAATGAGGGGAAAATGATATTCCTTACCATGTAGCATTCCAGTAAGGATTAAATGAGTTAAGATGTATCCAGATACATGTGTTACAGAATAAATTCCTCTTATTAATTATATATAGGGATAGATAGATAGGTGTTAATATATGATATAGATACATTAACTATATTACCATATCTGTATGTATACTGTAGATATCCAGCTTATTAATTCTTCCAGTATAAGCAGGCCTTTTAATTTTGAAATACATATTATCAATTTCCTTTTATTACTCCTTTATTGTAAGTATTCTAATACTACAGTATTTCTATTTGAAAATATATGACTGCTGTAAGGTATCATAAGTTTATAGAATATACATTTTATATGCCTATATTATATATTTTATAATGTCTGCAGGGTATGTTTATGTTGTTGTATGCATTTTGTTTAAAATATTTTCATGTAATATAGAATATACATTTTTATGTAATATATAAAATAGTAAAGTAGGACATTATGTTATTAACTGGTGTGTCATTACCCATGAATTTCATTTTTTTTTATTCTATGAATTTTATTTTAGGACAGTGAGGGGAACATTAAGAAATACTTTTATAACATTTTAATATATATAGCATATGTATAATGTGATATAATAATATATGTAACAGTTATAGGTTTATTTTAAAACACTGTCATTTTAATATCAGTGACATATATGGTGTATGGTTTGAATAGTGCACACAGCTATGCAGTATCATGTATTTTCTTTCCCTACTATCCGTGTGACTTGCTGTCCCTGCTCTAGGTCTTTGCTCAGATATCACCTCTCAGAGGATCCATTGACATCTCCAGTGACGCTTTCTGTCTCCTTATTTTGCTTTTTGTTTCCTTAATTGCAACTGTTCACCACTGAACATACTAAATAGTCTTTGTTTTTTATTTCTCTCTCTCCCTTCTGGAACATCAGCCCACAAGGGCAAGAACTTTTGTTTTGTCCACAGTTTTATTTCCACTACCAAAAGTGGTACTGGGCATGCAGCAGGCACTCAACAAATGTTTCCTAAGGGAATGGATAATAATAATGACAGTGGACACAGGCTCTGTGTGGGCTAAATACACATTTCCCAAGGGCAGTGGGAGGGATGGCTTGACTGGTTCTCCAGTTCCTGGGTCAGTGATTTCATGGCCTTTCCCCTGCCAGCCCCTGCACCCAGCACTGTGGCCCTGAGCACTTTCCCTTCCCTGCCCCGACCAATGCCCCCCTCCAGCGCATTCGCTCCACGTCCACCCCCAACGTCCATATGGTCAGCACCACGGCCCCCATGGATTCCAGCCTCCTCCAGGTTGGTGTTGAGGGGGGCTGGGCTGGGGATGCCCTGGGCAGAGGGGAGTGCCTTTCCTGTTGGCCCCCACATCTTCTCTGATACCCTCCCTCTTCTTCCAGCTTACTGCCCAGAGTTTCAGCAATGATGGTGAGCATCCCTGCCTGCACCCTGAGCCCCCCACCCTGGCCCACTTGCCTCCACTCACATCCTTTCCACCACCGTAGCTGCTGGTGGTAGAGGTGGTGGCGATGGAGTCCCCCGGGGGAGCCCCAGCCCGGCCAGTGTGTCCTCAGGGAGGAAATCCCCACATTCCAAGTCCCCATCAGAGCAGAGGGAGCGGAAGTCCTTGTCTGAGGAGAAGAAGAAAGTGGTAAGCTCCAGGGGGATCTTTTAAGGGGGGGCACCACAAATGGTGTGATGAGGGATATGGGCAGCCCCTGAGATACTGCCCATGTGGCCCACAGAAAAATCTGGGGTACCGGGACTCAGGCTATTACTGGGAGGTGCCACCCAGTGAGGTGCAGCTGCTGAAGAGGATTGGGACGGGCTCCTTCGGCACGGTGTTTCGCGGGCGCTGGCATGGTGACGTGGCCGTGAAGGTGCTCAAGGTGGCCCAGCCCACAGCTGAGCAGGCCCAGGCCTTCAAGAACGAGATGCAGGTGCTCAGGTGAGACTGCGCCTGGGTGCAGAGGGGGATGGGCTGGGGAAAGGCCGAGCTGGGGACTTGCTGCACTTTACCTGGGCTTGTGTTGTGCTCTAACCATCCTCCTAAGTTGTTTCCGCATCAAGGATGCCCCTGCCCCCTGGGAGATAGGTATGTGTAGAGGACCTCTGATGTTATTGTTTGTGTTTGGGTTAACATTGATATTAATTAATGACTCTGCTTCCAAAACATGGTCTTCTTGTTGGCCTGCTGTGAAGTGGGTGTGACCAACCATAGGACATCTGTGTCATTGCATGCACTGGCATGTTAGCTACCCCACCAGTAAGGCTGGCATCCTCCTTCACCCTCCCACTCCTGCTGCAACCGCATCATCAGCACTGTTAGTTGCATTGCATCCTTGTTACTAATCAGTTATAATAATGTCATCGATTAAAGAATCATAACCATAATTTAGTCATGGTTTGATGATTGTAGTTGCTTTGCTGAATATATTGTTAATACTGTATTAATGCATTTGCGCTGAGAAGCCTGGGTGTTCCCTTCTGAACACTGGAGTTACTCTTCCTCCCCAGTCCCCCGTGTGGGCTCCCCCTGGCTGGTGGGTACAGCTGTGTCACACCGTTAATGTTATCATAATCTCTTGTGGTGGTTTCATGTTTATCCTCATAATGGATGCCACACGAAGAAAACTCTTACTCTCTGTTCCCCTCTGTGAAATGGCAGTGACTTGAGCGTGCCATTCTGTGCCTTCCCTGATGATGTTAACCTTGACCTTACCCCTGGAAGCAAGTGCACGTGCTCTGTTGTCAGTTCTGACAGCAAAATGGCAGAGCAGCGTTGATGCCACCTGCATCATAACTGTAATTAATACTTCTACAAGGAACAAGGGCTTTCTTCTAATCAGGGTGGCTCTCCTCCTATGCAGTGGTGCCGTGAGGTAGGCCCAGCTACTTAGCAATAAAACGGAGAGTGAAACTGTCGGTGCTTGTTTGTGTCTGGTACTGTTGTAAGTGCCTTGCAGCTGATTTACTCACTCCTCCCAACACCCCTCTCAGGTGTTACCAGATAATTATAATTAATATAACTTTCCAAGTTTTATAGCTGGGGAACCTGAGACACAAAGAGGCAAAATGTCCTCCTTACGGTTGTGCAGTGAGTACCTGGGAAAGCCTGGATTAAAACCCAGGATCTAACTTGTAGCCAAACCCCAAGCTTTTTACACCTAAGCCCCTCATGATTAAGAGTGGATTATCACATGTCACTAGTATTTGTACCTGGCATCTTGTCAATATCATGCTGATACATCTGTGAGGGAGGAAGTTTGGCATTGTACTTTCTCGCCTATAAAAGGGTCACAGGCCCAGGTCATGGTCAGGGGTAGCGGTATGTGGGTGTTAGATGGTAAAGATACTGTTGGTGGCAGAGTGACAGGGACCTGCTTGTGTTGGGAGACTTCGATGAGGAAGCTCGAAACATAAGCCCCCAGCACAGAATCAGCCCAGCAAACATATCCTACAAATACATTGAATCTGACCAGTCTCACCCTGAGCCTCCCCAGACAGAGTAGAAGTAATAGCAGAGGCAGCAGTAAATGGCGCCACAGCTGAAGCTCAGAAGTTGCTCGTCCTCCCCAACTCCCTCCCTGACACTGCCTTCCCTGCTGCAGGAAGACACGCCACGTCAACATCTTGCTATTCATGGGCTTCATGACCAGGCCGGGATTTGCCATCATCACACAGTGGTGTGAGGGCTCCAGCCTCTACCACCACCTTCACGTGGCTGACACACGCTTTGACATGGTCCAGCTCATCGATGTGGCCCGGCAGACTGCCCAGGGCATGGAGTGAGCAGACTCCTAGGCACTAGGGAGGGGGCTGGGGTGGGGAAATGAGGTAACCCCCAGCCAACTGGCCATCTGCTTCCACCCCCACAGCTACCTCCATGCCAAGAACATCATCCACAGAGATCTCAAGTCTAATAGTATCTACCTGTCCCTGCAGCGGGGTGGGATGAAGGCCTGGAGCAATGGCTCTTGTGAGAAGCTTTCTGGAGACCAACAGGGAGGGGCACATGTGGCATAGTCCCTGCCGGACGGCAGAGCTGTGGCTGGTGAGGGGCTTTAGTGGGGGGTCTCTTGGGCAGGAGAGTCAGCTGTGGCTGGTTCAGATGCTGGTCTTGGGGAGCTCTGGTCAGGGTCTGAGGTGTTATAGTTTAGAGGGCATACAGGGTGTTCCTGATCAGGGTCACAGGTATGGTGGGCCTGGGTGCTATTAGAGGGGCTGTCTGGCCAAGAGTCACAAGGAGGCCAAGTATAGGGACATTCATTAGAGCTTTCTACCCGAGTCTAGGTTGTGGCTAGTGTAACATTGGGGGCTTCTGGTCAGGGTCAGAGGAGTGACTGATGGGGGAGGGTTGATGGGAGCCTCCCAGTCAGGCTGAGAGGCATGGTTGTTGGGAGACCCTGTACTGGCCCTTGACCCTGGTGGACATCTTCCTACACGAGGGGCTCACAGTGAAGATTGGTGACTTCGGCCTGGCCACAGTGAAGACGCGGTGGAGCGGAGCCCAGCCCTTGGAGCAGCCCTCGGGTTCTGTGCTATGGATGGTGAGTTGTGCCAGGGTGGGCCGGGGGTATTTAGGGATGTGGGCTGCTGGGCTGGGACATGGTGGGCTGAGAGGGGATGGGACTGCCTGTGCTGGGTGTGTCTCGACTGCTTATCTTTTGCCTCGTGAGCATGGCCCTGAGTTGCACTCTGTTGGCCAGTGGTTCTGAGATGATGGGCTAGCCATTTGTGACCACTGCTGTCTCCTTGTCTGGTCTGACCTATTGAAGGCGGCTGAGGTGATCCGTATGCAGGACCCGAACCCCTATAGCTTCCAGTCAGATGTCTACGCCTATGGGGTCGTGCTCTATGAACTCATGACCGGCTCGCTGCCCTACAGCCATATTGGCAGCCGTGACCAGGTGAGCCACACACCTTACCCACAAACATTCCTCAGCCTCTTAAACCCCAGATCTTCTCCTTTGCCAGATGAAGAATGCCATACTTCCCCCAGAATCCCCACATATTCTGGGCTGAAAACCCAAAGTTCCCATAAAGGCCAGAATCTCCTGAATTCCCTTACCCAAAGTCCCTCTATGTCCCAAAATTCCCAGAAGTCCTCTGGACCCCTCGATACATGCAGTCCTCTGGCCTGGGTATACAAAGTCCTCCAAGTCTCCAAAGCCTAGAATCTCATTTCTTCCAGAAATAGACTCCCTTGATGTGTCTGGAATACTCACAGGTGCCTGCAAGCGTTAGGCCTGGGGCATCCAGCAGGTATCACACTACTCCAGGGCCCAGACTCACTTCTCTGGATTCAAGGCCAGCAGTCTCCCAGGCTTTCAGAAATCTAGGCTCTAGATGGTAATAATCTTAGGTCCCTGAATACTCACGGCCCTATAGGACCTATGAACCCATAGTCCTGTAGGTCCCAGACCCTCACAGAAATTTAAGTGCTTGAGGGTCATAATTTAGCTCCCCCCAGACCTAGAACTTCGTGTTTCCTCCAAACTTGGTACTTTCCAGGCCTTTAAGCCCCTCAAACCCCCTAGAAACCTGTGGACCCATAATTTTCTGGGCACCAGAAAAGTCCTTTACTTCCCCAACCTTAAATCCCTCTCCTAGCAGAGAATCCTCCCAAGTCCTCAGAGACCAGATTCCATGGATCCACAAGATATCCACAATTTTCCAGACCTCAGTACCCAGAATACTCCAGTTCCCAAAAGGAGCTACCCAAGACTTTGAAGACCCAGAATTCCCTGGGCCTCCCAGCCCAGACCACTTCATTTCTGTTGCCCTTCCCCAGATAATCTTTATGGTGGGCCGTGGCTATCTGTCCCCGGACCTCAGCAAAATCTCCAGCAACTGCCCCAAGGCCATGCGGCGCCTGCTGTCTGACTGCCTCAAGTTCCAGCGGGAGGAGCGGCCCCTCTTCCCCCAGGTGGGCTAGGGAGGAGGGCTCTGGGATGATGATTCCCAGGTGCGAGTGTGGAGGACCACGTGTTCTAAGGCCCAGGGGGGAAATGGGGGGAGCAGGGAGAGTGAGTGAGTATGTGTGTGTGTGCACGCACGCGCATCCCCCCCATCAGGCTCTGGTGTTGGAATACCGGTAGGGCTCCAGATACCCCACCTCACCTGCCCCTGCCCCCAGATCCTGGCCACGATTGAGCTGCTGCAGCGGTCACTCCCCAAGATTGAGAGGAGTGCCTCGGAACCCTCCTTGCACCGCACCCAGGCTGATGAGTTGCCTGCCTGCCTGCTCAGCGCAGCCCGCCTTGTGCCTTAGGCCCTGCTCCCGGCCACCAGGGAGCCAATCTTCAGCGTGCTACAGCTAGGAACCCTGCTTACCAACCAATCAAAGGCCTGTTTCTACCCTGATACTGCCTCAGGATAACCCCATCCCCACCCTGGGAGATGAGAGGGTTCCTAATTGCTTTTCTAGTCCCTCTGGAATTGGGGGAGCCCCCAAAACTGAGATCCCCTGCCTCCACAATTTGGTTTCCTCTTGCCTCTGAGGATACTTATAAATTTGGGGTCTCCTCCATCTCCAATGGCTGTGATTTGGGGCAGCCAGGTTCCACTCAGAACTTTGCCTGATGTGCCTTCCACTGGATTTTTGGGGTCCCCAGCACCCCATATGGATTTGGGGGCTCCTGCCCCACCATTGAAGGACTACTCTGTTAAACAAATTCTGGGCCTTTGCTTGTTTATTTTGCTTCCCGACTCTTCTCATGGGGTTCAGAGCCGCTGAGGGATGGGGGTGTGTCCAGGCAAGGAGTGGGGGGTGGGGGGAGTGCGGACCACACAAACAGCGCCACTGCACGCATCACCACAGGCGGCACGATGAACGAGGACCACATATGCCAAGCACGGCACAAAAGGAGGCCACGTCAGTCACAGACACAGACATCACGGCAAAGGTGGGAAGTAGGGGACCACTGGCCTTCCATGTGCAAAGGACTTTGGGAGGATGGTTGGGGTTTGCATATTTAAAGACAGCTGTCAAGAGGCAGGAAAGTGGAATGGGGGTCCCTGGGAGAACTGAGGGGTCCTAGCAGTGGGAGGAGCTCCTCCCTGTGTGTGGAAAGGGGGTTGGTGTGTGTGTGAAGAGCGATCCTGTGGGACTGGGTGGTGGCATCTGAAGAGGTGGATCTCCAGAGGGATGGGAGATCCATGGAAAGAGATTCAAAGGTGAGGGCGTTGAGGATTTGGGGACCCAGTGTGCTTGAGAGATCTGGGACCAGCAGTAGGAGTTTCCAGGGACTTCAGGGCTCCAGGAGGAGACTAAGTGGTGTTAGTGCCAGAATGGGTTGCCTGGTATTTAGGAGCTTCCAGGAAGGAAATTCAGCTGGGATTTAGAGTGGGTCTGTAGGAATTTGGAGGTTCTAAAATTGAAACTGTAGGTCTTGAGGTGACCAGGAGTGGGACGCTAAAGGACTTGGGAATTCCAAACGTGAGAATTGGATTTAGGACCAGGAGTGCGGTTTCCCAAGGGACTTGGGCATTCTGAGGAGTGAGAAGAGGGATCTTGGTGAACCAGGAGAGGACTTCTCAAGGGATTTGGAGATTCCAAAAGTGAGAAATGGATTCAGGGCCCAGAGAGGGTTTGCCCAGGGATTTGGGGGTTCTCAGGGTGGGGTGTCAGTCGGAGAAGAGGCTGGCGAAAGACTTCCTCAGGCTGCGGATGGTCTCAGCTTTCACCTCGTCCTGGCTAAGGCTGGGCCTGGGCGGGGCTGGCTCTGGAAGGTTGAAGGCATTGGTCAGAGACTGGGATTTGCTAGAGAGAGACAAGGTGGAGGCATGGGAGGAAGGGGGGGAAGAGGAAGGGAGGAAGGGGAGAGAAACACAATGTTACCCCAGGCCCGGCCCCAGCCCTGCCCCTCTGGTCCTGGGGCTGTGCCTCTGACCCTCCCACCCACCAGTGGGAGGGTTCTGAAGGGTTCTGAACTCTGAAGGGTTTTTAGACTGTCGGGGACACCCTGGATCAGGCTAGGAGAACTTGGATCCAGAGTGAAGAAGTCTGGGATTTAAGGGAAGAGTCCTGGGCTGAATCTTCTCATCAACCTCTAGGCTAGGCTGCGAGGAGTCTGATAAAGAAGGTGAAGATGAGGGAAGAGGTTTCCAGTGTGAGGATGAGCTACCTAGAAGGGAGGTGTGGGGGGCATATCTAAGGGAGCACCATTGGGTGGGACAGGAAGGACTTGAGCTAGGGTGGGGGGAGGTCTGGAATGAACCAGAAGAGGCAACGGTGTGATGATTTGGGAGGAGGCTGAGATGTACCAGAAAGGACCCTAGACTGAGAATAGGATGAGGGCTGGGGAGGGTGAAGTGACAAAGAGGACTGTTAATTGGGCCAGGAGGAATTTGGGGGATCAGTTGGGAGGAGTCAGGTTGGGTGAGTCTGACAGGGAAGCCTCTGGGATGGGCAGAGGAGCCTTTGGTGGCAAGGGAGATGCCGAAGTAGTGCCATGGGATGCCTGGTCTGAGAGGAGGGGACTTCTCAGGGCCTAGTGAGAGGAATCCGAACTGATTTCTTAGGATTTCCTTGGGATTCTGGCATGGAATGTTGGATGGAAGGAGAAGGGCCCGGGATGGAGGGAGAAGGGCCAGGGATGGAGGGGAGGCACCTCTGGATGGGAAGGATCATAGCCTGGGGAAGGGAGGACTCTGACTCAGACTGGAGAGTGCCCCCTCGACCCCCAGTCTGTGGAGACTGGGACTTGAGGCTGCCTTCCTGGTGCAGGAGCCCGCTTTGTGAGCAGCTAGGAGAGGGCTGCTGTGGAGTCCCCTTACTTGAGCTGGGGGTGCGGGGGTCCCCCGGCAGCAGCGGTGGCAGGTGGCGGCACATCCTGGCTGGGTTTCTGGGCCAGCTGTGGCTTGGCGGGACGTCCAGCGGGGCCTGGGCCACTGGGCCGCGGCTGCTGCGTGGTGGGTGGCCCAGTGCGTGGCATGGGACCCGCCTGGCTAGCCTGGCGAGTGGGGCCTGCAGGACCAGGAGGCTTCTGGGGCGGGCCCTGGCGCTGTTGGCCACCAGGCGGCGCTCCTGAGGCCTTTGGCGGAGCCTGACCGGAGACTGAAGTCTGGCGTGTAGCCTGTGGGGGGCCCGCCTGGCGCTGGGGTGATGGGGAGGCTGGGGGACGGGCTGCAGGAGGTGCCCCGGGTCCTCCCGCCACTGGCCGGGATTGGCGGCCTTGACCCTGGGTCAGCTGTGGGGCCTGGGATGCAGGCTGCTGAGGCGCTGATGTGGGACTTGGTAGGCGCTGGGGCAGGGGGCTGCCAGCTGGGGGTCCAAGACCGGAAAGGTGCTGCTGGCCCTGTGGGGGCGGGCGCTGCTGCAACGGAGGTCCTTGGCGTTGGGGCCCTGGGCCAGGCTGTGGAGGGCCGCCTGAGGGAGAGAGAGCACACACACAACACGTGTGAGAGAGCAGCTGAACGGAGGGGGCAGAGGGGGCTGCTGCGTAGGCGGGGCGAAGGAAACCGTCCCTCACTTACCCTGTGGAGGTGGTCGTTGCTGAGCCGGGGGCCCAGCAGACTGCTGGGAGGTCTGGCGGCCCAAGGGCAGGGCTCCGGGGGATGGAGTCTGCACCAGAGAAGGGGGCAGGAGAGGTTAAAAATAGTTACCAGCTGGAGCATCAGCCAATCAGAGCGGCAGGGTGTTGCCACATTTGTGGCTGAGCTGAGGGGACATCAAGGGGTGGGGACCAGTTCCCAGGGTAGGGATGTGGAGGCACTCAGGGGAGTCAGGGTAGCAACTACTTATTTTTTTTTTTAAACAATCGGTAATTGCCATCACTTGGGTGATGGTGAGGCTTGGCTGCTGATCAGCTCTGATAGAGCATGACCAAGGGCTGCTCATCTGCCACAGCCCCCTCCCCCAGGGCCCACCCCAGGCCCAGGCTCTGCCAGGGGCTGACCTGGCTGTGAGAGCCCCTGCCTGGGGAGGCGTCCCGCTGCTGCTGCCGCTGCCTGGGCAGAGCCTGGGCCATCTTGTTGATCACCAGCTCTACAATGAGCTGCTTGTCTTCATCCTGGTGGTCACCGATGAGCGGCATGGAGGAGCCCACCACCTAGGGGAGGACAAGAGAGCCATTTAGGAGAGAGGCAGAAAGGACATGTGATGTTGACAGTAACCAAATGTTTTAAGTTGGCAAAAGGCAACATCCTGGCTGGGATGGATGAGCTGCAGAGGAGATGATCTTCCGTCTGAGAGGCGTTGGTTTTTGCACTGGGAGGAAGGCTGGTCTTTTGCAAGATACCTGACAGTCTAAGAGGTGCTCAGAGCAGGGCTCTCGTTAGGGCCTTCCACCAAATCCGGCCGCCATCCCTTTTTACGTGGCACCAAACTAAGGATGAGTTTTACACTTTTTGACAGTTGGAGATTTCATGATACTTGAGATGTACATGAAATTTAAATCCCTGTGTCCATAAGCAAATGTTTATCTAGTAACACAGCCGCGCTTATCTGTTTACATGTTGGCTGTGGCTGCACTGGGGGAGTTGAATAGCTGCAGCAGAGACTACATGACTCACCCAGGTAAAATGTGTGCTGTCTGACCCTTGACAGAAAATGTTTGCAAAACCCCAATTTATAGTTTGCTAGATGCTTTATCCTTTACAAAGAACTTTGTGGTTTACGTGGTACTTTACATGTAGTTTACAAAGCCCCCTGCCCTTTACAAAGCGCTGTGGGATATATGGTGTGTTTAGACTTAGAAAGTGTTTTTCAAAGGGTGCCTTTGTTTACAAATGATTTACCATGGATAAAACAGTCCTATTTACCAATCAGTCTGGATTTTCAAGGCATTTTACAGCTGATAAACTGCTTACTGTTTACCAGGGGCACCACTGTTTACAAAGAACTTTAGAATGTTGAAAGTGCTTTGCCTCCATAACAAGGACTTCCCAGTTTAGAGTTCCCTTTTCAGTTTATAAAGCCCTTCGCTCATTACCAAACACTTCCTAATTTATAAGGTACTTTACAGTTTACAGAGTGGTTTGGTTTCAATCGCCACTCTTTATTATAAAGTACTTTATAGTTTAGAAAGTGCATTGCCATTTGCCAAGGACCTTTCAGCTCACACAACACTGTAAAGCTTGCTGAGTGCTTTGCCATTCACCAAGGCGTCTCAGTTCACAGAGCACTTTACAGTTTATAAAGTATTTTGCCAGGCTGTCCCAGTTCTCCAGGCACTTTACAGTTTACTACAGACTTTGCCATTTGCTAAGAACCTTCTGGGCCAGAGGTTCCTCTGAAGAGAGTGCTTGACAGTTTACAGAGCATTATTGCCACGCACCTGCTCCTCCCTCTGTGCCCCCACCAATCCCCGGGTGCACCCACCTCAATGATGTGGTCCCTTCCATCTTTGCCATGCAGTGCTTCCACTGCGCAGATGTCCAGTCCCCCAAAAATCTCTGAGCATGTATCCACCCACAGCTTGTACCTGACAGGACATGGGACAGGGAGACCTGTCAGTTCCTGGTCTGGGTGGCCACACTCCACCCTCACTTCCCTGCCCAGCCTTAGCTCAGGCTGCCCACCTGTCAGACATCGCAATCTGCTCCAGCATTGCAGAGCCAGTGTTGGTCTTCCAGTTCCCTGACACTGACGTCCTCCTGGGGGACAAAAGAAGAGAGGCTCAGGGGAGCCTGGGCTGCATGGTGCAGCCCCCCCACCCCGGGCGTCATTCTCTCCACTCACATGTAGGCCTTGTAGTTCTGCCCTATCTTCTGGACACGCACGTCATATTTGGCATCGATGAAGGGCTCGGCAGTGGCATACGTCTTGGTCAGTGCCACAACGCTTGCGATGTCCTGGAAGTCATGCTGGTTGTCCACTTTGACCTGTGGGAGTGGGGCAGGGATCAGGGCCTGGTCATATGGGGCAGCAGTGGGTAGCGGGGTACCTCAGGGTGGGGGTGCATGCAGATGATGCAGGTGAGCTGAGGACTCAAAACCTTGGCATTCAAGCATGCATAGTGTGCGTCTCCTGGTGTTTGTTTGTACACACACAATGCTGGGCGCATACACCTCCGCAGCATACTGAAGGCCATTGACTCACTTTCAGTGGGTAAGTCGTATGGTGTGTGACTTACATTTCAATAAAGCCATGGGGAAGTTGAGTGTCTATACAGACAGTACATACAGATGGGCACCCAGACACAAAATCAGCTGAACACAGTATACAAACATACACAAGCATGGACACATATGTACAAATTACAAGTCTGCCTTCTACATTAGACAGTGACAAAATTAGGTAGGAGGTATACAGGGCCCCAAGACCCTTGAATGCAAAATATGTTGTGTGTGCCCAACGTAGAGGTGTTCAGGTACACACACACACACAATGCAACAGGATGCATAAAACTGGCTGAATGTACAGAGGAAATTGGGCCAACAAAGTCAACTGAATGTAAGGGGGGAAATACAAAAAAGATAAAGAATACAACAAGACGCATCCTACAGGATTACTGGTGTGCACTGGTGGGATATATAGGCACACCTCCGCATGCACAATCCATGTCAGGAGCATGCGCCCTTTACAAGTGCACATGGACACCCCGCCAGGGAACTCACCTTGCCCATCCCAGAATGCGCATGCCCCATCTTCACAACCACAGGGTATGTTGTGCTGCTGAGCTGATAGGATGGAAAGGCAGTTGATCAGGGCAGGAGGGCCGATTGCCAGGGTGGGGGTGGTGCTTAGGGGCACCCGTCCAGCGGGAGCCACATTATGAGCCATTTCCCAGAAAAGGTGGGTCAGAGACAGGCTGGGACTGGGGCTCACACAGCACCTCTAAGGCCAGAATTGAACCCAGAGCTGTGCCTGTCCCTCCCTCTACCACCCAGACTTCCCACCTCTGCTTTCCCAGGCAGAGACATGTGATTGGGCGGTAGGAGGGGGACTTTGCGGAAAAGGGAAAGTTTGTTTTTACAATGATGGATGATAGAGGAGTGAGTGTGTGCATGTTGCATGCACAGGGTGTGGTGGTGAGCATGTAGCAACTGGATCCCTCAGCTAGCTTTGTATGTAAGCCTCGTCTGCATACACATACAACACACACACACACACACACACACACACACAGAACTCAGATCTATTCAGCCAAACCCAGAGATACTCACGCAGGTTGAGACCCACAGGACGGAGACAACGATGAGCAACACAGGCTGCAGAGCCCAGCTCACTCTGGCTGCAGAGACCCACCCAGTCATTCATCCAGCCAGGTACTCAGGCACACGAGCCCCCTCTCCTAGCCCAAACCCATACACCAGTTAGAGGGAAACACATCACGAAGGCTCAGCCACGCATACAGAGGCATAGCCCTCAGCGGCACACAATGGAATTGGGCAGTGTCCACACTGCACCCACAACACTCAGACACACACGCAACACTCCTGGCACACGCACAATAGACAAAAAGGCCCACAGCACCTAGAGTGGTACCCACACTCCTACATATTCACATGACCCCAGAGACCCACCCACGCCCCTAAGCAAGCTAAAAGTCCATCTAGGGAGACATACCCCCTGCTTGCCATGCTCCATCTACCCGCCACACCCACAATCCTCCGCCTACAGACCACACTCCTGGGTGTGTGCACATGCACATTCAGGGGACATACCTCAAGTGTTTGCCCAGCCTGAGCCAGGGTAGAGGGGACTGAGTTAGCCGAGCCCAGCCCCACATCACACAGGCACGTGGGGCTGCATCCCTCCTCCGCTGTGGGGTAGAGATGCCATTCCTTTCCCGGAGGGGCGGCTGGGGCGGCTGCAGTTCCCGACAGGCACAGGAAGCAGGCTTGGGGGTGACCGACTGACCTTCAGACCTCGCCCTCCCTCTGCACTCCCACCTTCCTCATTTCCCAGATGACTAGCGTCATGATGGGGCACTGTTGGGACAGGGGATCCGGGATCCTCTCGCTGGCTTTCCAGATAAACAACACTGAGGCTGCGGTGACATTAACTCCCGGGCACATCGCCTCTGACTGAGGTGAACAGCACATCCGCGATCGCGTGTGGAGCCCAGAGCTGCTGTACGGGAGCAGACACACAACTCCCACAAGCAACACAAATTGAGAAAGTACTTTACAACTGACAGACTGCTTTGGAATCAATCACGCCACTCTTTATCATAAAGTGCTTTATAAAGTGCCATTTGCCAAAGACCTTTCAGCTCACACACACACTGTAAAGCTTGCTGAGTGCTTTGCCATTCGCCAAGGCGTCTCAGTTCACAGAGCACTTTCTAGTTTACCAAGTATTTTGCCAGAGCTGTCCCAGTTCCCAGGCACTTTACAGTTTACTACAGACTTTGCCATTTGCTAAGAACCTTCTGGGCCAGAGGTTCCTCTGAAGAGAGTGCTTGACAGTTTACAGAGCATTATTGCCACGCACCTGCACCTGCTCCTCCCTCTGTGCCCCCACCAATCCCCGGGTGCACCCACCTCAGTGATGTGGCCATGTGATGCTTCCACTGTGCACATGTCCACGGGGCTACTCAAGACCCTCAGGGCACACGTACCCCACAGAGAGGAACATGTGCCACCTCCTGGCACACACACAACTCTCAGAGGCAAAAACATTCTCTCCCCCAGGTTTCTGGGCACCCCTTTTCATGAATCCTTCTTTTCTCCTCTCGACCTGAGCCTGAACACAAGCTGTTTGTGTGTGTGCCCCATGTGTGCATGTAGAGTCTGCACCCTGGGATCGCCTGGAACCCAGCGTTTCCATCTTGGCCTCTCTTCCTAAGGTCAAGCAGGGCCCCAGGCAGGTCACTTGAGCCTGCTCTGGGTCTCAGTTTCCCGATCTGTACAAAAGACAGAAGCAGACCCATGCATTTGGTGTGGAGGGGGCACTGTCACACTCTGCACACCCCAGCTGGGCTCACAGCAGCCCCGATGATAACGCACACAGCCGGACACCCTCCATGAGACCCTAGCACTTTCCAAACCTGCACAAGAACCCAGACCCACACGTCCCCTCACAGGCAGACAGGCAGCAGAACTCTGCTGACTCAGGTTTCGTAGTCACGGAGTGGCGTCAGAGCAGGGTCAGTGAAGGGCTGCCTGAAGCAGGACTTTCCCTTTTACGCCCACTTCTCCTTGGCCCTGCCACTGACTCAGCCCCTGTCTCATTCACTCTTATTCCCCGACTTTCACAATCACCTTGGAATTTCTGGCTTACTTGCCCCCCACCTTGGCTAGTGCCCCCATCACAGTCATTTCTTCACTGTCATTCCTGGGCAGGTCACTCACCCAATGTGCGTGTCTGGGTTTCCTTATCCAGATAATGAGAATAGGAACAGTCTCAATTCACAGCGACATCACCAGAAACAGATCAGTTACTTGGGGGAAAATGCTCAGCACAGTGAGTGTCTGGCATGCAGGAAGCGTCAATCTTCAAAAAAGTGTTGGGGGGCCTCCCAGATGGCGCAGCGGGTTGAGCATGGGTTCGATTCCCAGCCAGTCAGGGAGATACCCACATGGTGTGACAGACCTCTCCTGTCTCACCCGCTGCTCCCTTCAGCAGTGTATTTCAGTCAGTCTGCCTGTTCTGTTCCCCGCTCTATCTCTGGTGAATCCTCTCACCCTCCTGTGCCTCTAACCTGTACCCCAGTTCTTGTATAAATAAATAAATCTCAAAAAAAAAAAGATGAGTAAACTAACACATGAATAAAAAAAAGAATTTAAAAAAGTGTTGGGCACCATTTTTTTTTTAATAGAGGCATGTTTTACTTATTTATTTATTTGTTTGTTTGTTTTATACATGCACTGGGTACAGTCAGAAGCGCGGGAGGGTGAGAGAATTCACCAGAGCCAGAGCGGGAGCAGAGCAGGCAGAAGGACCGAAGTACACTGCTGAGGGGAGCAGCGGGCGGCAGGAGAGGTCTGCGCGCCATATGGGACCCTCCTCCGGTGGCCGGGGAGCAGCCGGGGATCGAACCGGTGCCGCAGAGGCTGCGGGCAGCTTCGCAACCCAGCGCTCAACCGCTGCGCCACGGGGAGGCCCTGGGCACCATTATTTTTATTGGTGTAGCACCCTTTCATTAGCCAACATTTATTACCAAGGAGGTCATGGGACTGACTGTGATATACTTACAAAGATTTTAGAACAGTGCCCCACACCTAATGAACACTCTCTAAGCGCTGCTGGTTTGGTGGTGGTGGTGGTGGTGATTAGGCTGACTTACCTGAGATAATGAAACTAATTAACAGGGAGGTCTTAGAGACTGAATAAGATACTTTACACAAAGTCTTTAGGCAGGGTACACAGTACGTGCTCAATAAGTACTGCTATCATTGCTGCCACCATCACTATGGTCCGTCCTCCCTGAACTAAGAAAGGTATCCAATAACCCTCAGAGCCCTTTCCCAGGACCCCAGGAAGATTCAGGCAGCATCTGGAAGCTGGTGGGCAGGGATTGCCTCACCCCAACCCCCACTAGGGCCGTGGGAGTGTTGGTGGGGAAGGGGCAGGGCAGGATGGGAGGGGATCCATTTTCTACTGACTCACTGGCCTCTTTCACCACCATTCAACGCCCCCCCCCCCAACACTCACCCTTCCCGCTTGCCAGCACTGTGCCCTGCCTGGGTTAAGATTCTGGTGCCAGCTACCCTAGGTTCAAATCCCAGCCATACAGTGTGAGCCTGGGAGAGTACTTCAGTGCCTCTACACCTTATATTTCCTTATTGGTAAAATGGGCACCCACCTCAGAGACTTATTGTGAGCTCTAAGTGGGAGGTATTATGCCAAGTGCCTGGGACACAGTTGTGCTATATAAATGCTAGCATTTGCCTGTATCTTTGTCTTTGAGGGGGTTATGACCCAGACTCTGGCTCCAGGCCTCCTGAAGTCAAATTCCAGTTCTGTCACTTGTTAACTTGGATCTTGGATAAGTCAGTTAAATTCTTCCGCCTCAGTTTCCTCACCGTGTGTTCCTCCTCCACTCACCTGCCTTATCTCCCTCCACTGCTTCTAATTAATTTCCTCTCACCTCCCCTACTCTTCGCCAGAATGCCAGATCTACCAGGAGAGAGATTTTTGTGTTTTTTTGGTGTGTGCTTGGCACAGGTAGGTGCACAATAAGTGTATGTTGAGGGAATGAACAAATTCAGGCTTCAGCCATGGGGAATTTGGGGGATGCGGGTGATTGGAGAGATTTTGGAGACTTCAGGGCAAGGCCCTGGGGGAATCCAGCCTGCTAGTCCTCAGGGGAAGCTGCCTGGAAGGACGCGTGCCTGGGCGTGGGGGAGGAGGATGGCCCGGGAGGCCCAGGAGGAGGGGGAGGAGGAGCGCAAAACTTTTTCGGTGCAGCTCTCAGCCCGCCCCTTGGCGTCCACTGTTGGTGGGCGGATGAGTAATGCATCCCGGAAGCCTGGAGGCCTGTGGTTTCCGCACCGCCACCCCCACCCCTTGAGTGGACATTTATCCTCGCTGCTCAGGCCCTGCCGCCATCGCCGAGGACCCATCGCGTGGAGAGGCTGCAGCAGAGGTAGGCAGGGGCTTGAGGCCAGGCTGGAGCCTGTGTGCCAGACATCTGGCTGCCCAGCCTGGCCGGTGGGTACCAGGGCCCTGGGCTGGTCCAGGGGAAGTTGGTGGGGGCCTGAACTACCCCCATCTTCACACTCCAAACTCCTTGGAACCCTTCACATCCATTCCCAATTCCCCTAAACGCAGGGAATTCTACCACCATAGATGCATCCGAAGCTGCAAACTCCCCTAGATTCCGTCATTGCCCCCAAGTCCCCCCCCTCCAAATCTCTGCACTTCCTCAAACTCCCCTAGCACTCAATCACCCAGACTCCTAAATGCCCAACTCCCTAACACTCAGAACTTCTTCTGCTCCCTTATCCCTCAAGCACCCCAAATTCCCCAAACCCCCAACATCCTCCAAATTTCTCAACCTCCCTAATTCTTTCATCTCCTATATCTCTCAATATGCACAACCTTGAAATTCCCAAACTCCAGCTCCGCAAACCCCAACTTCCTCCCTCTAAACTCCTCAAACTTTTGATTTCTCCAGGTTGGGGGGGCGGGGGCCTAAATCCTCAAACTCTCCCTGCTCCTTTATTCCCCAACACCAAAGTCCCACAATCTCTTAACTCACCCATAATTCTTCAACTCCACAGGCCCCCTGACCCCCAAACTTCTCCAGGCTCTTCAAACCTTCAAAGTCCTCAAGCCCAAGTGAAGTTGCCTAACCCCCCTCCAGGCGTGTGCAGAGGCCTGGTGCCCAGGCCCTCAGATCAGCTGGACTGACTCCTCCTCTCCACCTCTGCAGAACCACCATGGCCCTCTTTGCACCCCTGGCCTCCTCCGGCATTCTGATGTTGCTGTGGCTGACAGCCCCCAGCAAGGCCTGCACCTGTGCTCCACCCCACCCTCAGACAGCTTTCTGCAACTCCGATATCGGTGAGTCTGTGCCCCACTCTGCCCACACACTCTGTGCCTTGGTTTCCCTCTCAGTCCAGCAGGATGCACGATGTACTGGCCTCTAGAACAATTCCACTTGGCCCTGCCCTGACTCTGCTTTAGCCACAGTGGCATCCTCAAGCTTCCTTGATAACTTCAGACCCAAACCTGCCTCAGGGCTTCTTCCCTCTGCCTGGTACCAACACCCTTCCCCACAGCTCCACCTGGGTGGCTGTCCCAAGGTGAGGGAAGGTCACCTTCTCAGGGTGGCCTTCCCTCACCACCCTGTTTAAATTTTACTCCCTGACTCTTGGTACCCCTGATCCCCTACCCAGCTGTGAAATTCCCCATCATACCTAATTCCTTCTAGCATCCCATATACTTACTGATTTTGCTTGTGTTTTGTCTGACGAGTGTGTGCTCCACCAGGGAAAGGACGTCTGTGTTCCGTTCATTCTTGTGTCTATAATACTCAGAGCAGTGCCTGCTACACAGAAGGCGCTCCAAAATACTTGTGGAGTGCATCAAAACATCATGAATATATGAAAAAGGCTTAAAGCACTATCTGGCAAAGAGCAGGCACACAATATTAGGGTAGACCAATTACTGAATTAACAAATTCACGAATTAACGAATGTGTGCATTGCTGTCTAGCATCCAGCGACCCCTATTTAAGAATGGGGACTCCCTGGTGGCCTAGGGGTTAAGTTTCAGCGCTACTACCATGAAGGCCCACTGCAACTGCCCAAGTTTGATCCCCAGCCAGGGAGCCACCCACATGGCGCAGCAGACCTCTCCTGACTAGCCCGCTGCTCCCCTCAGCAGTGCATTTCAGAACATCTGCGTGTTCTGGTCCCCGCTCTGTCTCTGGTGAATCCTCTCACCACCACGAACCTCTGTGCTGCACCCCAGTTCTTCTACGCAAATAAAAATTTAAAAAATCCTTTAAAAAAGAAAAGAATGGGCTTTGCTATTATTGCTATTATTTTTATTTTATTTCACTGGCTCATGAGGTCCATTTGACTCATCCCTCCCTTCCTCCTCCCCCCAGTCATCAGGGCCAAGTTCGTGGGGACCTCAGAAGTCAACCAGATCACCTCATACAAGCATTATGAGATCAAGATGACCAAGGTATCTCTCACGCTCCCCACCAGCAGTTCCAAATATCTTCCTCCGAGTCAAAACAGAAGCCTCTGGCCACCGGTTGTCAAAAGGATGCCATGAGAATTTAGGGGAGAAAGTGGAGTGGGAGGATTGTGTCAGTGAAAAAGACTTCCCCTTATCCTTGACAGATGTTCAAAGGCTTCAATGCCTCGAGGGATACCCCTGACATCCGGTTCGTCTACACCCCCGCCATGGAGAGCGTCTGCGGCTACTTACACCGGTCCCAGAACCGCAGCGAGGAGTTTCTCATCGCTGGTGAGGCCCTGCCCTCCCCCTGTGCCAAACCGACCGGCCCCCCAGCCGCTGCCTGGCAGCCTGGAGGGCGAGGCGCAGAGGGAACGGGCCCTGTGGAAGTGGGCACCGCCCCAATTTCAGCCTATCAGAGGATGGGGCGGGGGTGGGGGGGGCTTCTCCTAGCGGGGTCAACGCTCCAGGGTCATCCGTTAGACTCCCTGCCCCCCTCAGAAACTGCTTGTCGCATCTCTCCCCCTCGGTCTCTCTCTCTGCCCACCCTCCACTCCCACTCCCTCCTCCTCCCCGTCTCTCCTTCCGCTCCCCCTCCCACCCTCCCTCCCTCCCTCCCTCTCTCCATCCCCCCCCTCTCGTAGTCTAACCCCCTCCTTTTTCTCTCTCTCCCCTCCACCCCAGGACAACTGTGGAAGGGGAACCTGCGCATCACCACCTGCAGCTTCGTGGCTCCCTGGAACAGTCTGACCTCGGCTCAGCGCCGGGGCTTCACCAAGACCTACGCTGCCGGCTGTGAGGAATGCACAGTGAGTGCCCCGCCCTGACAGCAGGCCGTGGGCTCTCCCCCAAACCTCGGCTTGTTTCTTGCTCCCCCTAGCTACTCTCTGCCCCTGAACCCCAGGGATGTCCCTGATAGCTCTTGCTGGTACCCCCCACCCAAAACTCTTCCCCTAGAATGTCTGGTTGTTCCCTTGGCCTGTGAGACCATGTGTTTCCTCCACCTCTGGCTGCTCCTGTGCCTCTAGCTCTCCCTTGTGACTATATTCTGTCGTCTCCCTGTCTGCTTTTGAGCCCCTGAGATTGTTTCTTGCTTCCCTGGAATGTTCTCCAAGAACCCAAAGAGCTGTTTTCCAAACCCACCGACTCCCCCAGCACGCTGGGTTGCTGCTCTGCATCTCTGTTCCTTCCGCAACCAGGGCCACCACACCGATTGCCCTTCTGGTTCTTCCAAGGCTGTTCCCTGATGGCCCCCGTGTTCTCTGAGCCCCGTGACTGTCTGAGTCCCCCTGACCCTTCCTTCCCAGCCACCAGCTGCTTCCTACTAGTGCTAGTTGTTTCCTACTGCTATGGTGCAGTTCCCTAAGAGGCCTGCCTACCTGCCCCCACAGTTGTTTCCAACCTCCTTTCTGGGAAACAGATCTTTTCCTGGCCAAAGTCATCTTGCTGAGCCCAATGACTGTTCCTTCAACGGGAGGGGCTTCTAGACTCTGTTCCCTGACTGGGTGACACCAAGTCTTCCCAGTAGCTCAATGATGAAAATTGAGGAGTGGAAAGTTCTGCTCTGTAGGGGAGGGGCAGGAGGCCAAGCCCTCAGAGATGTGCCTCCCTCCCCTCTTCTAGGTGTTTCCCTGTAGATCCATCCCCTGCCAACTGCAGAATGACACTCACTGCTTGTGGACAGACCAGCTCCTCCGGCGCTCTGAGAAGGGCTTCCAGAGCCGCCACCTTGCCTGCCTGCCCCGGGAACCAGGCCTGTGTACCTGGCAATCCCTGAGATTCAAGGATGCCTGAACCCTGCCCCCAGGGGGAGCTGCAGCCTGTGCAGTGTTCACAGTGGGCTCTACTCTGGGGCTCTCTTCCCCCCAGACAATGAAATAAATAATTGCCACCCAGCAGGCAGAGTCCCTGTGTAGTGTTTGCGAACAAACTCATGTGACCTGGTGTGAGCACCCGGGGACTAATGCTGAGGGGGTGAGGGATGCAGATTTTTTTTAAATTTTACACAAAATTTGAGGTTTTGGCATTAGCAGTGGGGACCTGCAACATCAGTAATGCTAATTTAATCTGCATTGTCAACTTCAAATTATTGGCTAATCTTTCCACACAGAACTTTAGCAGTTTACTAGGCTCTCGAATCCATAATTTGCTCCATTGCTGGCTTGGGCAGATCCCTCTACTTGCAAACACTTCCAGTGGACAAGTTCACTGACAAATGCCCTGTCAGCTGGCAGACAGCTTTCCCGCTTTCCCCAGGTATTGTCCCTTGTTGTCCTGCTCCTTCCAACCCAGGTGTAGGTGTCCCTACCCTTAGGCTTTGTACTTGAGTGAAAGAGGAACCCCTCAGGTGATCCAGAGCCCTTCCCCCCACAGCCCAGTCCCCTTCACCCCACAGCCCAGCCAGGGACTCTGGAAGAAGGGGTAGCCCTGGCTCCCCACTCACAGCCTGCAGGAAATTCCCTAGGAGCCAGGAGTGGTTGGGTGTTTGGGGAAAAGGAGAGATGGGAAGAAGGTGCAATCTGGAACTCTCCCAGCTCTGCCCTCTCCTCCTCTACTCTCATCCTCGCACTCTTCTGACCAGCCCTGAAGGAAATACTGACAGCAGTGAAGTGCAGTAGGTTTAATACCCAAGATCAGCCAGGCACACCAGCCTCTTCCAACATGCTGTCTCCTTACCAAAACTGGGCCCTCAAGACCCACACCTCATCTTTCTGGGTCATCTTCCCCATAAAACCTTGAGTGACAGACATCTCCCCCCTCCCCCAAGAACTCCCTTCCTTTGCCCTTTCTGCTTCCATAGCTGAGGCCCAGGCTGGGCCCTTCCCAGGCCTTGGTTCCTGCCCCTTACACTCCAAAGGTCTTGACTCAGGGGAGGTCCCTGGAACCAGAATTTTAGATTGGTGCAGTCACTAGAACTGTCAGGTGTCCCGCTGACCTGCACTGCCTGGCAAAGGGCTCCAATCCATCTTCCTTGGTGAAGGAAAGGACCTCAGGCTCCCTCCCATCACACTAGCCACTGCTCCTACCATTACGAACCCAAGTCTCCAGAGAATTCTGGGTTAAAAAGCATAGGCCCCTAGAGCCCATGTTTCCCTGTCTCAGAGCCTTTGGCACACTTAGGAGGTTCCCCCTGGGTCCAAGAATCAGGATGGGTGGAGGTGGGCACACAGTGCAGGAGACACCCACTGCAGCAACAATTCTACGTTAGTGTGTCACTTTGGTGATGCCCTGGGAGGAACTGGACCTCACGGACGCAAAGAGCAAATGGAAGCCCTTGCTAATGGGTACAAGTGTAGGGGCAGGGCCTGGGCTCTGGCTTGGCCCTGGTGGCTGTGTTGCTATTGCTTCAGCAGCCTGCAAGAGTGTGACAGCTCCTGGGGCTTCCCTGGTGGCGCAAGGGATTAAGTATCGCCCTATGAAGCAATCACAGCCTCTGCAGCACGAGTTCAATCCCTGGCCAGCCAGGGAGCAACCCACAAGACTCAGAAGACGTCTCCTGACTCACCTGCTGCTCCCCTCAGCAGGGTATTTCAGTCAGTCTGCCTGTTGTGTTCCCCACTCTGTCTCTGGTGAATCCTCTCACTCCTCACATCTTTGGTCTGTACCCCAGTTCTTGTATGCATAAATAAATAAATCTTTAAAAACACACACACACTCAAAACTCACCATTGGAGAAGCAAACAATCTAATTAGAAAATGGGCACAAGTCCTCCCTGGTGGCGCAAGGGATTAAGCACCGCACTATGAAACAATCACAGCCTCTGCAACACGAGTTCAATCCCCAGCTGGCCAGGGAGCAACCCACATGGCGCAGCAGACCTCTCCTGTCTCACCCACTGCTTCCCTCAGCAGTGTGTTTCAGTCATTCTGCCCGTTCTATTCCCCACTCTGTTTCTGGTGAATCCTCTCATTCCCCACATCTCTGGCCTATACCCCAGCTCTTGTATGCATAAATAAATAAATATATCTTTTTTTTTAAAAAAAAAAAAAGAATGTGACAGCTCCTGACAGTTCACTAAACCCTACTACCAGCTCCCTGCACTGTTTTTTTTTTTAAAGATTTATTTATTTATGCATATAAGAATTGGGGTACACCTATGTTTATAGCAGCACTATTTACAATAGCTAAGCTTTGGAAACAACCCAAATGCCCAAAAATAGATGACTGGATCAAGAAGATGTGGTCCATATACACCATGGAATATTACTCAGCATTCCAAAAAGATAAACACATGCAATGTGCAGCAACATGGATGGAGCTGGAAGGGATCATGCTCAGCGAAATAAGCCAGAAAGAAACAGAAAAATACCAGATGGTCTCACTCATAGCAGGACTCTAGAAAACTTAAATAAGGGACCAGGAAAATGAATAACTATAAGAAAGAAAAAATAAAAATCAACAAACAACTATGAACCAGAAACACTCTATAGGGGGTGGGGGGCGGGGAAAAGAGGGCTTGGGGTCAAAATAAGGGGGTTGTAATTATAAGGGGAATATAAAAATAAAATTTAAATAATAATAAAAAAAAGAACTGGGGTACAGGCCAGAGGTGGGGGGATGAGAGGATTTACCAGAGACAGAGTGGGGAGAACAGCGGATTGACTGAAATACATTGCTAAGGGGAGCAGCAGGCGAGACAGGAGAGGTCTGCTGTGCCATGTGGGTCACCTCCCTGGCTGGGGATCAAACTTGTGCTGCAGTGGCTGCGGATAGCTTCATAGTGCTGAGACTTAACCCCTTGTGCCACCAGGGAGGGCCCTCCCTGCACTGTTTGCTGGGCCCACCTGTTCCCTGAACTTCAGCTATTTTAACTCCTGAGAGGAAGGTGTAGTAGAAGATGACAGGGAAGGATGGAGCCCAGTGTTGAGGCCATTTGCCTGCTGACCTGCCCACCTGTAATTGGTACCCTGACAGGGTTAACCACCAGGCCCGTCCAGGACAGGGCATAAGGCACCCCCTACCCTGACCCTGGCGGGATCTCCTGGCAGAGTATCTGTAGTCCTGGAGTCACTACACTTCCTCCCATTTTCCCTTCTAGAAAATACATTAAAGTGAGCAACCCTGCCCCACCCTCACCCCAGTGTTCCATGAGTCAATGTGTAAGTCTTTGCTTGGAAGACACAAATGGCTGAGAGGAAATACTTGGGGGTGACAGCCCTGTGAGGTGTGCGGAATGGGGTTCAGCTCGGACTTTGCTGTCCTTACCCAGAATCCTTCAGAGGACTGCACTAGGGTTGGAGGGTACTGGATGGGTGTGCCCACCCCTGGCGTATTTTTTCAGGTCAAAACACATGAGATTCTCATAGCAATAACTTGATGTGTAATATTTGTAACAGTGAGTTCATCTCTAGACACGTAATGTAGTAACATGAGGAACATGAACCTGGAACCAGGCCATCAGCACTCAAATCCTGCCCCTGTCATGTCCTAACTCTGTGTCCTTGGGAAAATAATGTTGCTCTGTGTACTCCTGTTGCTTCAGTTTCCACTTCTGTAAGATGGGGATAAAAGGTGCCTAACTCCTGGGACCAATGTGAGCATTAAATGTCCAGAACAGTGTTAGGCACCTAACACTTAAAAGGTATTTATTGTTACAGGAAATAGTTGTGGCAAATATAATTTAATGTACAACTCTAGTAATGCTCATTCTTAGCAGTGATTATTTACAGTATTGCAGGTACTGTTTAACATCAGGAATACTTTACAAAGCTGAAAATAACGGATAACGTGTAATGATACGTACAGAACATGTAATACTGTAATAATGTCACATATCCTGGAAACCTTAGTTTAACTTGTGATCCTGATAGTATCTCCCAGAGACATTATAAATATTTAATATGCTCATTTGTAATGCTCTTGTCACTATGGTACATGTACACTGCTTTCCAGGGTGCAAACCTCCCCACTGACAAAGACTTCTGAAAACACCCCTCCCTTGCCCCAGTCACAGCATTCCCCGCTGTGAAGTCCTTACTGTGGATTTACAAACCACCACGTTTATAAATCTCTACTGCTGTTAAGACTACAGGTGACAGGTCTCTTGGTAAATCCTTTCTTCGAAAAGTCCTCTCTTCTCATTGTACAAATTCCCTCTTCCATAAGTGTTCCACTAACAAATCTCTGTTGAGCTACCTCTTTTTAAATAAATATCCCTTCTACATATCCCCATTGATGATCCCCACTGACGATTCTCCCCATTCACCAATACCCAGCAGCACTCTATCACCCCCTCATGGAGCCAGTGAAAAATACCTCTCTTCATAACTGCCCATTTATTAGCATAGCCCCAATGGACCACTCATTGACGAATCTCTCTGTTCATAAGTAGGTTTCTGTGACATAATTCCCATTGACAAATCTCCCCATTCACACACCATGACCCACTGGCACACTCCCCCATTCAGAAACGCCTAACAAAATGTTCTCATTGATGAGCTCGCTCATCAAATCTTCCCATTCAGAAATACCCACAATTGATATCTATCTCATTTGATAAGCCAATTTGAAAATATCTTCATTCATAAAACCCCATCTGGGGCCTCCCTGGTGGCGCAGGCGGTTGAGCGCAGCGCTGTGGAGCTGTCCGCAGCTTCTGCAATGCCAGTTCGATCCCCACTGGCCTTGGAGCAACCCACGTGGCAAGCAGACCTCTCCTGTCTCACCCACTGCTCCCCTCAGCAGCGTATTTCAGTCTGTCTGCCTGTTCTATTCCCCACTCTGTCTCTGGTGAGTCCTCTCACCCTCCCGCACATCTAGACTGTACGCCGTCTCTTGTAGAAATAAAATAAAATCTTCAAAAAAAAAAAAAAACAAACCCACCCATCCATATAGGCCCTATTGATTGATGCCCACTGATACATTTCTCCATTTTTAATATCTTCAGTTGGAAAAA